CAGCACTAGTTGGACACCAGGACAGTAAGTCCTATTAATGATGGGCTTTTCAGTAGGGTAGATATGCTTTTGCAATTTTCCTAGATTTCTGCTCTAGGGTCACATGATAAGTCAGTAGTAGTTATAAACCTCTCAGCATTGTGATCAATCCCTTTGGCTGACGTAATCTAGACCTCCGGTGTAATTTACAACAAAGGACAGTTTGGGCAAATCTCTGTTTTATTACTTTCAATTTACCAACTGAAATATTTCACTGCTTATGACTGAAGTTATTTTGAATTTTTTTGATTGATAGGAAACTGGGATAGTACTGAAGAAAAATGTCAAGCATGAAAAGGAAACACATTTTACAGAATTAAAAGGAATAAGCATTTCTTTCTTTTGATTATAATGTCTACATACCTAGCAATCTCCTGAAATTACCTAATGGGCCACCAGAGAGAATTGTGTCTGTCTGTGTAGTTACCCTGAAAGTCGAGTCATCCAGATTAACTAGAATATTAATGACGTGTATTTCTTATCTTCCAAACACACACCATATAACTAACAATACTTAGTCTACATTTTCCGGAATCTGAATAATCATTAACCATCTCTCTGGGCTACACAAGGCACTATAATCATCTATAGGCATGAGTACTGGGAATTGTGACTCCTATCATTTCTCCTTCATGTAACTTTCCTGTAATTTAGATGGATTATTTTTCTTCCCCATGTCTGTTGTGTATTCTATATCTAAATGCTAATAAACAAACAAGAGAACTCATCATTGGAGAGGTGATTAAAAGGAACTGTTCTGAGTTTAGAGAGAGAAAAAGGGGCTGGGGTATCCCTCAGTTGTCATGCATTTGGGAAACGTGGCACTGTCTGGTCACCCTTCTCACCCCCCACCTTCATGCCACATCAGTGCCCTGTGATGAAATGGAATCACAACTCTCATTTTCTACTTTATAGACAGATGAGGTAGGAGGTGGGGAGTTGGATTTAAACATGTGTAATGTCCCTTTTAGGCCTAATTTCCCACTGCCATCAAGTTGATTCTAACTTGTAGTGACCCCCATAGGATTTCCTAGGCTGCAAATCCTACCAGAAGTTGATTGCCTCATCTTCCTCCTGTGGAGCAGCTGGTGGGTGTGAACTGTCGACCTATTGGCTAGCAGAATATCACCTCACCCACTCTGCCACCAGAGTTCCTTAACTTCCCTATTACCCAACCACATAGCTACTTTTACAGGGCTTTTATTGTCCAGGACTATAGATAATTACAAAATTGTAATTACTGAGCAACTATGGTGCCAAGTGCTTTTACATACTACTTTTTTTTTTAATTCTCAACAACTTTGCCCAAATACATATGGGGCACCATGAGTCAGAATCTACTTTACAGCAACTAGCAACAAGGTAAATTAGGATTTGGGGTCTATTTTCCCAAGAGCTTGTACTTTTTAATTTAAACCATGAAGCCTCTTCAGTTTACAGAACTAAGAAATGCATGCCAGTTCTAAGATTCACTAGTTCTGCAATTCTATTTCTTCTATGAAATTCCTTGAAGGGAGAGAACTGGTATTTTATATCCTCATGACCTAGCACAGTGCCTGGCATATACAAGTGCTCAATAAATGTTTTTTGAATGAAATAAAATACAATTTCTTTAACACAAATCCTAATTTGTCTCCTGCACTAAATTGGGTGGATTAACAATGAGACATGAGCCTTCAAACATTTGCTGTACCTTTATAAGTTTTTATATTCCTTCCTCAAATTTCTTTAAGAAGGACTCTGCCATGTGTGAGGGAAAGGAAGCAAACATATAGTTAGTGTCTATACAGTGAAGAGAAAAATCCTGTATTAATTTAAAATTCAGATCATTGAGCAAAACTTTGTGCAGGGATCTCTTTATCTGTCTCATTCCAAAAAGCTCCCTTCCTCCATGGCAGTGTCAGCAAACATCATGGCGGTTACATAGGCAATAGTTGTACCCATGGTTGATTAAAGTGATTGAGGATAAGATATTGCTTTGGTTCAGCAATTATTTGAGAGTCTACTAAGTTCCAGACATTATGGACTTAAAGATAACAGGTTCTAGCCCTGAAGGGGCTGTGAGTCTTACATTTCTATGAAAACGCATCTCTTTGTTTGGGATAGTTTGGCTGTGTACAGGATTGAATTCTCTCCCAGCACAAAATCAGCCCTCACTGTATTTTGTAGAGGAGCTCTGGTGGCATGGTGCCTAAGGCATGTCGACTGCTACCTAGAAGGCTGGCGGTTCAAATCCAGCAGCCACTCTTTGGAAGGAAGGTTGGGCAATCTACTTCTGTAGTGATACTGCTTCGGAAACCCAAGGAGGGGTTGCTATGAATTGGATTCAACTCGACGGCAGTGTGTTTCATTTTTTGGTTCGGTATTTTGTAGACACAAGTTTAAACTTCAGCCCTTCTCTCCAGCTTCCCCAAATACCATACAATCCTTAGATGACTAAAACAAATGACTGAAATATCACCTTTGAATTCTTTTACAAGAATATACATGGACATAACCTGAAGGTAGTTTCTCTGGCAACTGGGGGTACTGCACCAGAAGGGTGGGAATATGTGGACTTGCAAGGTTGGAAAAGATAGCGTTAAGGGGAAAGGAAGGCCTTTCCCCTCAAACGCTCATCGAGATATTCTGGTGTTAACTCTGGGCTGCAGCTCTGGATAAGAGCACCATAATAAGGTAGTTTGTCAGAGAAATGCAGGCAATTTCGCAACACAGGACAAACCACTTTTAGGAAGACAAGAGACTTCCGGAGAGTCAGAGTCTGCAAGTTCTTTTAGCTAGGACTCATGCATTAACTTGACTGAGGTGCTCACATATGGATTATCTTGATGCAGCCAGCTGAAATCAATCATAGGCTCCCTCTGCCATTATGTAAATGGATATGTAATCAAGCATGACTAGCAATGACCCACTCTCAGTATACAAGATGTTGCATCACTTTATTTTAATTGTATGATTTATCAGAACAACAACTATTAACATAACAAAGTACCATTCAGCTCAACTGCAGGTATCGGCAGTGATAAGCAGTTAATTCTCAGAAGAATCATTTATTCCCAGTCTGTCCAGACACATTAACCCTCAGGACAAGTCTATCTACAGCAAACATGGCTTTCACACTGCTGCCTTCTCAACCACCTATATACAGGTGTGTGGAACTGTTGATGGGCTGTTTCCACAAGCTCTTTCTGTCCTGGATGTATTCATCCTCTTGACATCAGTTGAAGATACTGATTTCTTCCTGCAGAGCAGATACTTGTTTTGACTCATCCACAATTTACATTATTCTCTGAATCAGTATTACTCTTTACACTTATGAAATGGTAACACTTGAGCTGAAATGCCCCTGCAGCACGGTTCCTTGTGTCTTCTGGTTAAGTTCCTCCATCGTCAAAGAGCTTTGGTTGTCATCATTTTCTTCCAACAACAGGCAAACTTGCCTATTTGGTTTCAGTGTAACACACCCTCTTTCTAGCTTGCTGTGTGAACCCTTGGCTTCAAGTTACGGTGCTATAATAAGGGTGGGGTGAAGTGGCCATCAGCACATTTCCGTATCACAACTTACAACCATTTAAAATCACTCCGTTATTAATCTAAGTCTGATATACCTTTTTTTTTTCCCCCAAAATGTTCACAGTGCAGTATTTTTGTGGCCTAACAAAACTTTCCTTATATCATTAAAAATAAACATTCTTATAAAAATATAATACTTTAAATGTTTACATCAACAAAATCAGTTAGAGGATATATGCCACATGCACTATACAGTAGTGAGCACAATTCCACAGAGCTAAACATCACAAAAGTCCTGCCTAAAGCAGCTGTGTATCAAAGTGAAATGCCAGAACTTTCTATTGCCATTTTTTGTATATTTCTCAAATATGCTTTGTTTAGTACAAAACACGTCCCAGTGCAAACTGGACTCACCCAAAGTTTTATCATCTCTAATAGTTTGTGGGGTGGGAAGCTGCCACCTGAGAGAGAGGCTAAAGTTCCTGGTCCATCAATCCCTCCTCTGTCCTACACACGGGCCTGACTGGAACCCGCAAACTTTTCAGTCAGGTGTAGTCTGCTATGAAATCATGCTGAGTCACCCTTAAAAATATTTATCACAAATTACTTGTTCTATTTTCAGAGTTGTCATTTACAGGAAAAAAAAATACAGACAAAATATCTAACATTCTAGATACATTCAACAACAGTATCATTTCTCAAACAGTTGATTTTTAAGTGACAACTAAATATTTCATCATGACTAAGCTATTTTATGAAAATCTTCTTGATGTCTTCTACACAAATACTCCTATTTATAAAAACACATTCTGTGTCATGCTATTTGGAAACTCTGCATACTGTCTAAGGGTATTCTGCCAATAAAAGGAATGTGTACATCAGAATTGCAAGGGGAATGTTTGCCTAACGGGCAAAGGACAATATTAACAATGAAAGATGTTAGTGACCATACAACATACTCAAGGTCTTTGAAACACTGGAATTCTAACTGAGGGGTCTTGTCCATAGGCTGCCAGGTCCATCCTGGACATCACCACCTCTTCTGAATTTCCATGATCAAGAAATCATCGTAATTCATTGCCTCAGTTCTCTACAGAGGTGGACCCTGATTTTTTTTTTTCATTTTCCAGTTATCCACATTTCAACACAGAATCCGGCTTTTGGCCTTCCACGTGACAGGTGCATCAGCACAGCAGAAGTGTTGATGCTGAGCGCTGGCCCGTCAGTTCCAGCCTCCAGTTCCATTAGCCGATTCAGATCCTTTGTTGGGTGAAAAACGTCAGTCATTTAAATAACAATAGCAAATCCTACCATAGTGCAATTTTGGCAAAAGCAAAAAAATATCTGATGGCCTTAAAAAGGCCAGGCAGTGAAAAAACGATTGGACCAAGTGTGGACTGTTGTTTGAACTGTTACTAGGATGTCCCTCAGAAAGGGTGGTGTCTCTGTCATGTGTCCACCTCATCATCCACATTTTCCTGTGACGACAAGAGACAAGGATATGGAGCGACACATTTGACATTCACATAAGTAGCGTTCACATGGACATAGTGCTCCCCAATGAACGTGGAGAATATCGCTGATATCCGGGAGACCAGTTCAGAAAAGGATGGGCGCATTTCAGCTTTAGGGTGCCAGCATTTTAGCATCACTTCATACCTATTTCAGAAAGAGAGAAATGCTGTGAGAGAGCCGTTGGAAGCAAGCACTTCTGTAAAAGCAAAGACAGCAAGAGATACTGAAGGTTTTGTGAGAACTGCTACTTACAAGGGATCTGGGCAGTATTCAGGTTGTAAGAGCCTTCTTCCTTGCAATAAGTAAACTGTTATATCAAAGGTGTTTACATCAGGATAAGGAGGAGCTCCTCTTGTCATCAGTTCCCAGAGAAGCACACCAAAGGACCACTAGGAAAACAAGGTACCAAAGAATCCAGGTGAGGCAGTACAAACTATAATCTTATTCAGTAGGTCTTGATAACTAAACTTGCTTTAAAAATCAACTGTTGTTGAGTTCATCCCGACATGTTGTGAGTCCATGTGTGTCAGAGCAGAACTGTACTCCATAGGGTTCCCAATGGCTCATTTTTTGGAAGTAGATTGTCAGGCCTTTTTTCTAAGAATGTTCTGGGTAGACTTGAACCTTCAGCTTTTTGATTACTAGCTGAGAGCATTAACGGTTTGCACTACCCAGGGACTCCACACTTGGCTTACCATATTCAATACTATTGCTGTTTTGTGCTGAGCTATGAATTTTATGACCTATTTAATCAGATCAAGGTTAGATTATAAATTATTGTTGTTGTTGTTATTTGCCGTTGAGTCAGCCCTGACTCATAGCGACCCCTCCTTGGGTTTTCGAGGCAGTGTCACTATAGAAGTAGGATTGCCCAACCTTCCTTCCGGGGAGTGGCTGGTGGGTTTGAACCGCCAGCCTTCTGGTTAGCAGTCAAGTAGCCTTAGGCACTATGCTACAGTATTAAAAAAAAAAAGTAGCTGAAAACATGATGATAAAGATGCCTCTGTAATTTGTACATTTTCCAACTTTTCCCTTGTAAGGTCAAAGCACTAACATGTTTCTCTCCTTCCCTCTTTCAAAGCTTCACTTTTAGATTATTTAGTAAGAGAAGAAGATAAAGGAAGGCTTTGAAAATTTAAAGTTGTGGGATTTCAAAATGAATGTAAATACTGTTTAAGAAATATAGCCATATCTAAATGCTAATGTTAAAAGGGAAGATCTGCCAGTATAAATAAAGATCCATATTAAAAATCAGAAATCATAATAACTGCTAGGCAACAAATTTCTCTACTGAAAAATAATTTAAATAAAACAACTTTAATTTGAAATCGTGAATGTACCCAATTAATATAAAATGGCTGTATCATCACTTTATAGCAAGGATTATAGTAATATGGAAAGGTTAAATGATTTGCTAAAAATACTCCAATAAATCTGGATTCACACTGGGGAAACATATAAGAATTCTTGACTCTTGGGTCTTTCTTGGTCTACTGAGTGAGTGATTTAAAGCACTCTACTCAGAACAGGAAGGAAGGTTGGGCAATCTACTTCCGTAGTGATACTGCCTCAGAAACCCAAGGAGGGGTTGCTATGAGTCAGGCCGACTCGAAGGCACATAACAACAACAACAACACACTCAGAATAGGAGGAGTCCTGCTGGTGTAGTGGTTAAGGGCTTGGTTGTTAACCAAAAAGTTGGTGCTCTGAACCCACCAGTTGCTCTGCAGAGGAAAGATGTGGCAGTCCACTTTCATGAAGATTACAGTCCTGGAAACCCTACAGGGAAGTTCTACTCTGTTGTTTAAGAATGCTATCAGTCATATTACTTGGATCCCTGATCAACACCAATAGAAGCAGCAGTTAAGAAATCAGATGTCGTACTGCACTGAGCATATCTGCTGCAAAAGATTCTTTAAAGTGCTGAGGAGTAAAGATGTCTCCTTGAAGACTAAGGTGTGCCTAATTCAAGCCAGGGAGCTCTGGTAGCATAGTGGCTAAGACACTTGCCTGCTAACCAGACGGCTGGTGGTTCAAACCCACCAGCCACTCCTCGTGGTTCAAACCCACCAGCCACTCCTCGGAAGGAAGGTTGGGCAATCCTACTTCCGTAGTGATATTGCCTCGGAAACCCAAGGAGGGGTCGCTATGAGTCAGGTGTGACTCAGATGGCACATAACAACAACAACAATTCAAGCCATGGTATTTTCAATAGCTTCATATGCATGTGAAAGCTAGACAATGAATAAGGAAGTGTGAAGAAGAGTTGATGCTTTTGAGTTGTAGTATTGGGGAAGAATACTAAAAACACCATGGACTGCCAGAAGAATGAACAAATCTGTCTTGGAAGAAGTGTAGCCAAATGCTCCTTGGAAGTGAGAATGGCCAGAATTCGTCTCACCTACTTTGGTCATGTTGCCAGAAAGGACCATTCCCTGGAGAAGAATATCATGCTTGGTAAAGTGGAGGGTCAGTGGAAAAAGGGAAGACACTCAACAAGATAGATTGACACAGTGGCTACAACAATGGGCTCAGGTATAGCAAGGATTGTGAGGCTGGCACAGGACCGGGCAGTGTTTCATTCCATTGTACGTAGGGTCGCTATGAGTCGGAGCTGACTTGACGGCACCTAACAACAACAACAACAACAACAACTTGAGTCAGAGTGGACTTGACAGCAATGGGTTTTTGGTTGCTATGCAGACTAGATCAGGTCATAGAATACAGGACAGAGGGCAGCATTTGCAGGTTGCCCATGCAGAAGACCCAGGAAATCAGCTTTTGCTTGATATCATGTTTCCGTCACTCCCAGATGAGGAAGCGTGTGGGGGAGAAATGAGGCTCTGATAAAAAAACAGCTTGGAGAGGAAGAAGGATACAGAACAAACAGATGGAATAGAAAAAGATAAAAGGTATCAGACTAGTGTAGCTTCCAGTACTCAAAGAGAAGGAGGATAAAGCTTATCTCCAACACTGCTGCTGGAGGAAACCAGGAAAATACTGTAGTTCCTGATACACATTCCCATTAATGGCTTTTTCTCTCTGCCCAGGAGTCCTTGGATGGTATGGTTAATACTCTTGGCTGCTAACTGGAAGGTTGGAGGTTAGAGACCACCCAGAGGCACCTTGGAAGAAAGGCCTGGAAATATCTTTTCCCAAAACCAGCCATTGAAAACCTCACGGAGCATAATTTCACTTTGACATTTGGGGTCACCCACGAATCAGAACAATTTGCCTAGATCCAAACAGAAAAAACACACCCCTCCCCAGGAGGGAACTAGATAACTTTGCTGCCTTCTTCAGCCTTTTGAAATCAAAGTTTTCAAAGCCAGAGAGTCTTATTGGTTACTCCTGACAACTTCACTGTGCTAATCCTCAAGCTCCAGAATTTCCATTAAAATTTAAATCAATTGAACAAACATATACTGACCTTTGGTCATATACAAGTAGTGTACCATCCTAGGTACTGAACAGATTAGGAGGTTGAATTAGCAAAGGTAAGAGTATTATGCAAACACTGTAACTTACAACTATAAGATAATAACAATAATACAAAAAAGGAATAAAGTGTTAAGAAAAGTCAAAGAGATGATAGTGAGGTACTGAGGACATGTAACAAAGAGAGTGACACTAATAGGAATCTTGAAGGACAGGGAGAATTAGCTTTATAGGCACACTTAATACGAGGGCAGAAAGGGTAGGGTAGGAGGGACTGGGCCCAGGGGCAAGAGTACACAGTGTTTTTTTGTGACACAGGTCACTTCACTTGATATGTTGTTGTTATTTGCCACCGAGTTGGCCCCGACTCCTAGCGTTGGCCCTGATTCCTAGCGACCCCTCCTTGGGTTTCTGAGGCAGTTATCACTACGGAAGTAGGATTGCCCAACCTTCCTTCTGAGGAGTGGCTGGTGGGTTTGAACCGCCAGCCTCCTTGTTAGCAGTCAAGTGCCTTAGGCACTATGCTACCAGAGCTCCTTGATATGTAGATCACATGAAGGGATAAGGTTGCATTGGGGCCCTGCGGTCAGGTTTTCTAAATGTTGAGTGGATTAAACCGAAATTGATGGGCGACAGGAAGTCACTCAGTAGGACATGACTAGATTTTGCTCCAGGAAATTGCATCTGTAAACATTCCACTGAAGATAAAGAGAAGGGGCCACAGACACCAGCTAGAAGGTTTCTGAATAAGAATAGATGAGGGGTGATGTTGCATACTGGCAAAACAGTAGCCTAAGAGAATTAGGGAGGAAAAAAACCCAAAAACAAACTCATTGCCTTTGAGTTGATTCTGACTCAGCAAGCCCTCCTTGGGTTTCTCAGGCAGTATCACTACGGAAGTAGATTGCCCCATCTTCCTTCTGAGGAGTGGCTGGTGGGTTTGAACCACCAGCCTTCTGGTTAGCAGACAAACGCCTTAGGCACTACACCACCAGAACTGTCAATATAATGGAAAGGTGAGTGGTTTGAACCCAGCCAGCAGCTTTGAGGGAGAAAGACCTACTGATCTACTCCAGTGAAGATTAAACAAGAAACAATCAAACCTACTGCCACTCTTAGTGACCCTATGTCGTTGTTATGTGCCGTCGAGTCGGACAGCGTTTTCCACAGGGTTTCCAAGGCTGTGAATCTTTGCAGAAGTAGACTGCCTCATCTTTCTCCCACGGAGCAGATGGTGGGTTCAAATTGCTGCCCTTCTGGTTAATAGCCAAATGCTTTAACCACTGCGCTACCAGAAAACTCTATGGAACAGCTCTACTCTGTCACATTGGGCTCCTAGGAGTCAAAACTGAGTTGATAGCACCCAAGAACAACATAACGAGCCAAGCACGGATGGCATACCCCCCTTCTCTTTTAAAAAAACAAAAACTATCTTATGTAATGCTTTTGCAGTCCTGTAATGGAACTGGTTTTGTGATGCTTTAGGAAGAAGGAAAGCAAGGTTCCAAGAGGCTCAGTAGTTAGTTGTCTTGCTCAGGCCCTGTTGTTGT